GCCACCATGCCCAGCTAATTTTTTGTATTTTTAGTAGAGACGGGGTTTCACCATGTTGACCAGGATGGTCTCGATATCTTGACCTTGTGATCCACCCGCCTCGGCCTCCCAAAGTGCTGGGATTACAGGCTTGAGCCACCGAGCCCGGCTCTTGTTACTTCTTAATCCATTCACTACACAGTGGCCAGGGTACAGTGAACATGGCTGGTTGCTTACTCAACTTCCATTCTCCACTTTCTGCTTCCAAACGGTGTCCAGTTTTGATCAGGGGGATCTTTCCTTAGCAAGTATTTGTTGAATGAATGAAAGAATAAGTTTAATTATTGGGTCTTCCATGTCCTAAGTTTGTAGCCATAATTAATTTCCTTAGCCTCTCTAAGCCTCATCATATTCTCATCTGTAAGTTGGTCATGATAGTAATATCTATCATGAAGCCTTCTGGGGAAGATTAAATGAGATAAAGCACATATAACCACTTAGTACATACCCTGTTATGTAATGAGCACCTAATAAATGTTATTGATAGCAGTGCAACATTTGTTGATTTATAATATTCTCAATTATTAGTTCCTCCCTATAACTTTGTGGAATAAGACTTATTATCTACATTATAGAAATGAGAAGACTTCCAAGCGATTAAGTCCTCTGTTTAAAGCTGTCAGCCATTTGAGCAGAGACTGGATTTGATTTCAGGTCTTCCTATTTCAAAATTTGAGCTTTTCCCTTTTAGGGCCACATGAATCTAATGTGATTAATAGTTTCATGTATGTTGTGTATATCAATTCAAAATGATGACTATAATGGAAATGTTATATGAAAAGTATGGGAAGAATTTTGTATCTGTTTTTGCCTGTAACGTTCAATACCTGTTTGAGGAGGTGAGTTATAGGAAACCATGCCTCAATAAGAACACAGAGCAGTCTCAAAGTCTTGAAATGGAATATTTCACTTCCTAAGATTCTGTGATGTCATTTCATCATAACAGATGCTATGGCTTTAATAGGTTTACACATACATTTCCTCTCTGATTGACAAAAAACAATCAAAAAAAAAAAAAAAAAAAAAACAAGAACAACAAAAAACCACGGGAAACTACCAATTAAAATAGTTTTGAGAATGTAGGCATCATGGGTGCCAGCTGCCCTGCAGCAGCTGGTCTTTTGAGAGTGGGTAATTTTGCCACCTCATAATGCAAAACATAATGTTTACCATCACCCTATGCTCAGAATACTAATTATATCTTAAAACACTGCTTTTCATAGAAGGGAGTGGCTGACATCAAAAAAAATTCTGGAGGCTATATCTATTTGGACTCTATTATTATTTTTTTCTTTTTATACAGTGGGATCCTTAATTGTCAATTGCTGGTGTGAGGAAATCATAGCCTAAATCAGATGTTTGTTCCTGAATATGTGAATCAAGTAGGCAGCCTTAGTACTAGCAGTCAAGAGGCCTGGATTTGAGTCCCAGCTCTTTACATCTGTGGGACCATGCTCAGGCCATTTTATCTTTTTGAATTTCAGTATCCCCTGAAAAGAGAGAGCATGTCCAGAGTCAGTGAGAGAGTAGCTGTACTGTGTAATACTGTGCAGAAGAGTACCCATAGCTGATGTGTGGAGACGTGTACACTGAAACATACCATAGATTTGAAAGTTCTTGCTATTGAGTGGGTCAAAGATGTGCTCATGTTTGTTGAAACATGAACAGTATGGAAATTTAAATTTTTAGGGACATACTATATGCAATATTAGTCAGTCATTTCACTTATCTGTTCTTATTTAAACAATTTATAAAGCATAGATCCCTATTTTATAGACAGTGGAATTTTACTGAAAAGGTAAAAGTGCTGGTGAGGACAGGGACATAATTTCAACCTGGTTTTACTTTTTCTAGAGCTTCTACTGATACAAAGATACTCAGAGTTGATTGTTTTAATTATTTTTAATGGTGATGTTTGTAGGGGGAGGTAGGGCAGTTTACATTCAAATTCTCAAAATAGAGAGGAAAGTATGTCAGGCCAAACTAGGGCACCCAACTTCCCTTCCTCGCAGTAACTTGAAATAGAATTTGGCTAGAGGGTCATAGCTATTTAAAATTAATTTGCTCTCTTTACCAGTAGATAACCTTTGTGAGTAAAATCACCACCTGTATTCATTTTGAAGCATATAAATATATAATTAGCTTCAAAGTCAAGAAATACTTTGTCACAGTAACAAATGCAACTTTAGTCATATTTCTGAGGGACATTGTTTTACGAAGCCATGAGTTCAAGACCAGCCTAGGCAACAAAAGCATCTCTAAAAACAAAATGTTATTTACAAATACAGACTTACTCCCAACTCTCACTCTACCAATCTAATTAAGTTGATAATTTCACTCTTAGTGCTTCATGTTACACACATAAGTCTACAGTATTCATCTGCAGCAATTTCATCTTTTGAACCAGAATTGTCTGCAATATCAAAAGATTAATATTTTTTCTAGAACTTCCTTTAGAAATCCTGGTGCACTTCCTTGCCAAAAATATCTTAGAAACAACAAAAAAAAAATAATCTATCATTAACCTGTATTCACAGAGTCACTTCTAAATTTTGCACTAAATCAAGTATTTTCTAACATGGCATAGCATCACTGAAAAGTAAAATAATACTTAGTGAATTACTTGTTCTACTTTGACAATATAAAGTAACAGGTAATATCTATTCTTTCAAGGTATAAAAATGTGTTCTGCTGTTAAAATAAGATTTGTGATTTTATATGTTTTTAAGTATGTTAATTCATTTAAAATGACCACCAAATCACAGTAAGTGTTAAAAGTTAAAAAAAATCCTATACAGTATGCATAAAACACACTGGAAGGAAAGATAGCAGTTTTAGTTTGAGTCCTTTCTGGGTATGGAGATTATAAGAGCTTTAGAAAGCACATTTCTACTTTTATGTTTCTTTCAAATGTTTTATTTTGGACATCTATCATATCAGAGAACCTAAAAACATGGGCTTGGGACACTTAGTCACAGTCAGATACACTTGGGAGCTGTGTGACCAGAGACAAGTCACTTGACATCTCAAAGCCTCAGTTTCCTTATCTCCAAATAGGGATAATGAGATTATTATCAATTGATTGTTACTGTTATTGAGAGAATACACGTGAAATACATAGCATAGTACCTGAAAAATAGTAAGCATAAAAAATGTGAGCTATCATTACGAAAAAGAGACAACCATTTGCATAAAAGAAGATATAAAGACACTATAGTGAAGGAAAAAAATACTAAAGGGAGAGAAAGAAAGAGCTAAGTCAAGATGCTGAAAGTGATTTTAAAATTTTGTATAGGAAAGGGAGAAAGAGAAGAGATGAATG